GGTATAAATATCGGTATTATTTTTCCGATTTGGTATACTTGTTCAAGCCCCAGTTTCTGATAGCGGACCCTTAAGGAGATCAAAGAGAAAGCGAACAGTTTTTTTCTCATTTAACAACCTAAATAACCTGAACATTTTGTTAATAATATGCCCTTATGTAAGTGACAGAGGTGTTTCTATGGTCAAAATACATATTTTAATAAATCAATATACAATGCAACTGTTGGCTTCTATTGGAGATGCTCTTCTAATAGAGCAAATACGGTAACTGTTTTATTTGGAATAAATAGTGATGACAGAAATGGTACTTTGGTATAAATATGGGTATAAATTTTGCCACTATCCAGGTATAAAAATGGTCACACTTTTGAGCACTCAGGGGCACCTCCATACCCATCTATGTATCAACTGCCCCCCCCCCCCCCCGGGCACCATACTGTCGATCAGTGTAGATAGGAACATTGCCAGGAGTAAGGGGGATTTACCAATGGTCTATCAAACTTACAGGGCACGTCTCAGGGATGTCTGATTGGTCTTGGTTTTTGTAGTATAGATGTCTCTCCTTACGAGCTGCATTATATAGCATCTCTTGCTTATCAAAGTCAGAATACTCAGGAGCATATTAAATACCTAAAATAGATGGTTAAAGAGATTTCTAAAAAGAAACTTTGAGTTCTGTGATGGAGCCACCATTGTTCATATGTTGGTTGCAGATTACTGGAACAATAATCTAAAAACAAGACAGTAGTAGTGACTCCCTAGTATAAACTAGAAAATTTGATTTAGCAAGTTTTATTGTGCATTAGTTACAACGAATTACTCACAACCAACTCTTTCTTCTCAGGTACCTCTTGTGCTTGTTAGTGAGGGTTGGTTTTAACCCAAGGAAAGAGTGCCTGGTATTGCTAGGCAACCATTGGAGGTTACCCAACAAATTTCCCTCCAGCTAGTCTACATTTTTTGCATAACGAAACCCTATTTGTCTAGTTTAGACAATAATCTACACAATAATCTGGTCGAAAGTAGCATTTTTCACACCCCCATAAAAGAGAGAGAATAGATAATAAAAATCTCACAGAAATCCACAGAAAAAAATCGAAAATAGTAATTTTTAGCAAATATGATGAAAATAATCTTTAACAAGCAGCC